TTTGCCCAAGTCGCGAGTGAAGTTCCTTGTGGGACGCGCTTTTTGAATTTTGTGAATTTTTGTTGTTTCCAGCGCCAGCATTTCTAGAGCTTTGACCACTTTCATGGTAAATTGACATCAGGTAGATCTGATAATATATTATGATGTTGATTTGGGTAGAATTTGAATATGATGATAAAGCTACCAATTCAACATGAGAATGATTTATTGATTTAATGTGAAACTTCGAAAAGAGTAGGTAGGTAGCTACCAATAACTGTCTAGCTCTAGGCATTTCTCTAGTCTACGATTTACCTAGTATTTTGTCCATGATGTCCATCCATACGGTTCTAGTATCCTCCTCCAAGCCCATGCCAGCTTAGGTGTAGATGTACATGTTTCCTCTTGTAGTATCCAGAACGTCCATTCTGTCTCTTTCAATATTGTTGGAATAGCAAAGGAACCTAAAGTCAATTGATCCGAGCAAGTAACAATTAACAATTCACACATGCGAAAACCAAAGGATTCAAAAGGCTTCTCTGTATAAAATCTAGCATTGATAACCAAAAACAGAAATCCTTTCTTTCCTGACTACCTGCTTGTTTCTCTGATAATTTACATCTATTTGCTTGCCCCAATCAAGTGCTACCCAGGTCATGACACATAACACAAAGTAATCTATCTACCTTACATTTATCAACCTACCTAGGTACCTTTCTCCAGCCACCTGGTACTTGTACATCACTAGGTACTGATCATCTTGGGCCCCATAATCTGGTATCCCGATACTTGCAACCCACACCTTCCTCCCTTCAATTTCTGCATTGCACAAATTCAACACTTCACTCTGAAGCTCAAACACTCACTTTACCGTCTCAAGGTTCCGCAATTAGAGCCAGCAAATGATGAATGGCTCTCCAGTGTCAGAGGACCGTTCAATACAATCTACAGCTTCTGATGTTGGCCCAAGAAGACGCTCCTCGAGGAATCAAAAGAGGTCTAAGTCTTCAAGTGGAGACTATACGGATAGATGTGGGAATGACATGGGAACACAAAAGATACAAAGTGAATCAATGGGTGTTGCGACAAGTCGCCTCAGACGTTCTGGCCAAAATATCAAGAGATCAAAGTCTGAGATCCTCGAAGATGCATTGAAGCCCTTAACGGATGACGAACGCAAGTCTTGGAAGGGATGGTGTGAGCTAGAGAGCGATCCAGTAAGTTGCTTTTCGGGGTGGTAGGGTTTTTTGAGTTGACACATGTTATTTGCTAGGCACTTTTTAACTACATATTACGAGAGTATGGTGTCAAGGATGTCAAAATCCAGGAGGTTCTTGGCCTGGAGGACGAAATGTTACAGTATCTACGGTATAAAAATTTCCGCTTCCACCAATACTTGAGACCCAAATTGACATTGTCCAAGGAAACCAGTGTATGGATTAGTCTTCCTATTTAAATACGTAGAGGATGACTCGGAGGATGAAGAGACACCTCTAAAATGTCCGAACCACGTTTGGTTTGCCAATCAAGTTAGGCAAATCCAGGACCTTGATGAGAAATTGACTAATAGAATGTAGACTACACATAACGCCTGTGCTACTGTTGCCCTTCTGAACATTGTTATGAACGTCCCGAATCTTGATCTAGGGGACGGTATTCGCGGTTTCAAGGAAGACACTCAATTCCTGAAACCAGCATACCGAGGTCAGAAACTCAGTCAGAACGAGTGTATCCGAAACATTCATAATTCATTTGCTCGGAGAATGGATATTTTGAATGCAGATTTAGCTCTTTCGAATGAGGTTTCAGCTTGGAAGAAAAAGAGAAAAACGAAGAAGAAATCTGGGAGAAGCGAGTCTAGGTCAGACGTAGAGTCAGGTTTTCATTTTGTTGCATTCGTACCAGTAGAGGGCACTGTGTGGAGACTTGATGGCTTGCAACGTCAACCAGTCAGTTTAGGTAGGTGAAAACGACAATCGGTTGAATAATACTGACAATTTGAAGGGTCGTGTAATGATGACTGGATTTCCGTTGCTCGTGCCAGTATCCATGAGCAGATTCTCAAATACGGCGATGATCTGCAGTTCAACCTTTTGTCTTTGTGTAGAAGTCCTCTTCGGATAATTCCACGAGAGCTCGCTCAGAATATCCACGCCATAGAGCGTGTTGAAGCTTTGCTGGCACAACAGATGTCTGATTGGAACGACTTCAATCAGGTTGATGATTCCGAACTAATAAGAGGGCCCTCGGAGGAATTTAGTGTGACAGACAAACTACTTCACGATACAGCACTTCCCGAGAGCATATGCGATATATTCGAGCGAGAGAGTACTAATGCGAGCGCTCTTCTTCGCTTACAGCAGCAGTGGGTTTCCGACCAAAAGGCACTACGTATCGCTTATAGAGAAGAATTGGCATTGATCAACGACGAGAATGAGCAGGCAGCGAGACGGAAGAAAGACCATACGCCAATGGTCTATCGTACATTAAAGAGCCTAGCTGATAAGGGAATCCTAAAAGAGATCATAGACGAAGTTCAAGCGGTATAAAGTGAGCATTGAAACCTGTTGGTTGTTCACTCTAACAAAAAACTCAATTGTAGTAATATATGTACATACCAACCCTAGTCATCAGGATATTCGTTCCTAAAATTCGCAATGAACTGACACTTTTCCTGATCATATCGCTTGAAGTATTGTCCCGCCACTATCATCAACGATGTCAAATCCGGCTGAGTGACGATCTCTATGTTGTCCTCGGCCACATAACGTAAGCTAGCATCTTCTACGCTGTTGAATTTGTAAGCGCTTCCACCCTTCACGGCACATCCTAGGGTTACTTACAGTACATGATAAAAGCTTTGGTTCCTACCTCCTGGGTAAGAATCGATCTGGTGTTGAGCTATCCAGTTGGAGCCCATGTGACATCCAACATCCCAGCCAATTATCGCTCCTGTATAACCGTATCTCTGGTGGCGAAATACTTGCCCAATCCTGAATTTTACCCGATCCGTTCCCTTAGATTTGTTGCGAGTCCGTACTTGCCTCGGAGTCGAGTCTACCGTGCGTATTACTCTCAGTTCCTCGACTAGTTCGGAGTACTCGTTACTTGAACTATTGTATGATGGAAGGATATATTTTTCGATAAGGCCAACGTCTTCCGGGAAGGATTTCTCGAATTTAGCCATCAGCATAGGTACTAATTGATGCTGATTATGACCAGGAGGCATTGGGGTCGGATTTAAAAGAAAGCTTGCCCAGGTGACTGAGTATATTGCATGATCCATTTCCAATAATGGCACACTTTGTAATCTAGTAGTCACGAGGGATGGGTCTTGTGCGGGACGGCTTCGTATATAGGGGAACTCTCGAATGGTTGTAACTATATTTCTAGTCGTGCGGAGCACAATATTGTTGATGGCAGAAGAATCCGCGACGAATTCGGAGAATGTTACTCCTCGGACACCCCAAGCCGTCCACAATCGCTGAAGATTTTCCATAGGGATTTCTGATGCTGATCGGAATGGATCTAAATACATGGGTTCCACGGCGCTGTCCTTCTGTTTAAGCGGCTTGTCATCGAGGTCTATAGAGGGCTTTGGGAGGATCATAGCATATACATGACTCGGCATACCACAGACCCTAGCATCAAGTCCAGTCCTTCGAGCTACCGCACAAAATATTGCGACAGAGACTAGAGGCAACGAAGAATGCTCTGGCTCCTGCAGTGCTAGACTAATATAGTTATTTTGTAAATTGCGATAGTTGAGTTCATTGTTGAGACCCAAAAGATTGCGGTCGCGCAGAAACGTAACAACTGCGAGGGCTTGTTGTCGGGTAGACATATAATCGAATTTTGGGTAGTCAGATCGAACACGAGTGGCAAGGTCGTCGAGAATATCGGAAACCTATGCCAATTTGTTAGCTAAAATTCACACACACAGCAATATGGAAGGAAATGCATGCCTCCTGAAAATCCCCGATGTTGTCATGTAGAACAAACATATCGTAAGCTCCCAGTGCTGCTTCCAGGGATACCTCCTCGCCCCTAGCAAGCTTCGACCATACTGCGAGAGCTTTTGAGCGATGAATAAAGTCAAGCACTGCACAAGCATAGTACCTATATATGTAAACATTAGAAAAGAAACCATCTGGGAGTCGAATAGCTTACTTTCTAGCAAGATAATCATCGCCACGCATGCGACTGTGTCGCAATAGCGCATCTTTTGCATCATATCCAAAACGTCCAATTTCTTCAAAGTTCACAATACGATTAGCTCGACTCTCAAGAAGACCATTCAAAGCGTTTGTCGTTCTTGTATCTACGTTTTCTCGATGGATATATAAGCCTTTCCAATTCACATCTCCTACAATACCTGCAAACTTTTGAAGGACGGCATGTTTCGCGTCCCAGTACTTGAAGTGTACGCGACAGTGGTAACGCCAAAGTAATGGCTCATTCCCCAGGCGATTGAATCGCTTTGAAACAAGTTGGATATTCGAGAGAGTATCGTGCGGAGAACTGAAGTAGAGTATTTGTTGCACAATCTCATCGGGAAGAATGTCAAAAGTAAAACCTCGGCTTGCAGAATCGTTGGGAGTCATCGCAAAGAATGAAATGCCAATTTGGCAGTCGTAGTTGTGCTCTGGAATTCACCTCTCGAATCTGATTGATGCGTCACTTCAAATTAGATGAATTGATTATGTTTTTGAAGTCGAGAGTTGTGCAACTGGAGAATGCTTCGGACTGGGCGCGGAGTCGTTCAAATAGTTCAGATAGTTCAGACGGCAAGTCACTAAAGGATGAGTATTTCCCTATTCACTACCTAGGTAAAGAAATGTATGACAGAGATCGAAACAAACGTCATTTTGTATGACCCTATCTGAGCCAAATAAATCCAGCCATATTTGAAGAAAATCACTGGAAGAATGATAAGAATTCAAACGATTGAATCGGCCGTCCATATGGGTTTGTTTGGAAGAGTTCACAGTACAGAAATGTATGAGAATATCGAGAATTCCATTTTATTGTTGTGGTATCGCCTATCAAATGTACCTTAGCTAAAGGAAGTACATCATACCAGCTCCACCCGCACAATGCGCATACTGTCATACTGTCCAGATACAAAACTACAAGTACCTACCCCGCTTCAGAAGTAGAATAGATAACCCCTCTCTTCACAATGATATGCTATGATGTTCAATAGATAGGGTACAAACAACTACAACTACAACTACAATCGACATCTTCTTAATTTTTGCATTGGAAAATGTGATAAAATGATTGTGCTGTTGTATCATATCTTTATCTAATAAAAATCTCGATTGATAATTTCCATTGTCATCGCCTTTAAACGCCGTAAAGTGATGTCTGGGCCATTCCTACTCCCGCTGAAGATGATAAATGCTAAAAGTGCTTTCCGACAGTGCCTTTTACATGATAGTGCAATATCTTTGTAAAGGGGTTTGCTCCGAAGGATGGGTATAGTAAATGCCGAACCTCTCCCTGCCATCTATCGTTTCATGCTCAATCTGTTTTTCCTTCGTTTCTTTGGGGAAATTTCTTAGAAGAAACTTGGAGAGTTTTTCATCGATGTTGTCTATAAGCATCAGTTGGGGACTCTTCTACTTTGTTCAGATCTGCGTGTTGGAAATTACCTTGATCAGCCTTTAAAATTACTTCGTCTCGGCATAAGGGGCAGGCATTGGTCCCACGCCGCTGCATGAACACTGTGCATCGAACACATAGAACATGATTGCATTCCATTCTTATTGGTCGCCATACTATGGCCAGACAGACAGGGCAAGTATAATCACTCAGCTGAGGTACTATTTGAACAAGATCCTGTGTCACCTGTGCACATACAGATCTGGCCATCGCTTCCGTCATGATAACGTCGGACTGGATCAGTCTGGGGAATGTTTGCCTAGCACCAAGTGTTGTTCTCTTATCAAATTCTAATTACATTAGCTGTGATTCCATAGGATAAAGGGCACGTCATTGTGGTGCCCAGATCTTAACCATGAGAATTTGAAAAAGTATAGAACGTACTTTTCAATATCTTGGCAATGGCTTTCTGGTTGATCTCCTGAAATTGGAGATTCCGGAGCAGCGTAACATTAATGCTGATGAATTGGTTTACTATCAAGGTCAGTATATTTACTCGGAAAACACTAGAATGTACAATACGTACATGCTTTACGGCTAGGGGATAGTTTAAATGTATCTACGATACCTCTCTTAACCACTTCACTCTGGAACCATCTGCGAAAAGTATCATTAGTCAAGTGCCGGCGTGCCTACCAAAATATGCTTACTTACTGTAAACGCTTTAATGCAGCCACACTATCACGCTTACCGTGATCCTTTTCAAGATCCGAAAAGAATATTCCAGCCTGCACGTAAACATCAAATAATTCTCTCCATCGATACTGGTCGGTCTTTTTGAACCTTGAAGGCTCGCTGAGCTTAACGAGCTCTCTTGAAAGATCGCCAACCTCGGCGACAAGAGCCCTTTGTTCCTCGTCTTGGAGTGCATCAAGATTTTCAACATCTCCCTGCAGAAGACCGAAGAATTCTGCATCGAAAGTCAGAGGCACTTCGATTTCCCTAACAAGAGGTCGTTCAACCTCAATCTCTGACGATGGATCTCTAGAAGTCATGTCAACAATTGATATACACATGCCCAAGGACCAAAAGAACGCACTCACATAGGAACAATTTGACCACCTTCATCACTAGCGGGATCGGATAGCGACACGTCTGAAAGATCCCGATGGTGATTTACTAGATCCTCTAGATATCTTCTCGTGTCAGCTGACAGCCTAGCATCGACGGTGACACCTTGTTCAAGCCGTAAGATGAGGGTGGGCCGGAACTTCGACCCTTCTTCAATCAGTTTCTTTACGCAGATTAACATAAACGTAGAAGGTTGGCCATACCCTTGAAATCATACAAGTAAGCGGGACCAGTACTGGAAATCTCTCTCAACTTTGCAAGCGCAGCAGGATCCAGACCACACTGTGCTAACTCGGTCGCAATCTGGATTACTTTAGCTTTTGTTCATCGTTTCCAAGTTCTGACCGACCTTTTTAAGAGATTTCTTGAGCAGACCATAAGGAATGGCAGAATCTACCCAGCGCGGCGGAAAGCCTTCTCTGGCAAGGGCATCTTTGAATTCTTTGGCAAATTTCATAATAAAGAGATGCAATACGATGAAACGTAATTTGGCTGATGAAAGTTGGAAAGCTGTTGCTCTGTCTGCTATAAGGCTATTGGGAAGAAAGATTTATGTGGCATTGTTTGACAAGAGCCAAAGGGGTGGGTGGGTGGTAAGGCGATGAGAATATTTACAATTTTTTTCGCGCAGGGCAAGGACTATCTTGACTGTTAGTCGGGATTCTAAAAGAATGCAGATAGCGAATAGGTATAGAGCTTCAAGCTTAGGTATCAAATTATTGAATGGGACGTTTGACGGGAAAGAGCAAGGTATTCTAGAGGAAGAAGATATCTCAAAAGCTATGTATTCGTAATATGCAGGAAGAATCAATTTACCATGAGCAGGAGTGCGTGGGAGTGAGAAGGGAGTGAGTAAACAAAATCAATATGAGAGCTTACCTGGTGGACTGTTTGAAATTGTGACTGGACTGGGTTCAAGATACCTAGTAGCTAATCAGATATCCAGATAGATAGGGACAAGTGCTTAATACAGGTAATTTCCGCTGCAATCTGAATCTATCCAAAAACTTCCAAAGACTTTTACTTCAAGATCAAGATACGCATTTCATAGGGGGAGTTCACAAGTCTTTGGGAATTGGAGATGGAGTACCTGGTAGTACCTGGCAGCACCCACCTAGTAATACTACCGGCTGACTCATGGCCCGACTCGAGACCGGTGATGGAGTCAGCAGTCTGCTCTCTCCACTGGTGCTCTCGTCTCTGTAGAGTCTGAACTGTGCAAATGCTAATGGCTATCCCAACTATCTCGAGCTTTCTAGTCATGCACGTACCGTCTAAGACTATGTCTACTGGCACAGAAAAAGTAGCGTAGCCTCCTAATCACAAAACTTCTTCATACTCTTCATCCCTCCATGTGCCATGCTGAGAAATTTTCAAATTTTATATCTACCTAGTCTGTACCTGGTCTAGCATTTCACCTCCCACTATCAAAGATTCCAGATGCTCATGTATTATTAATCAGATTCATACCTACGATACGTGCACCATTCTTGTAAATTTGGGTAGCTCGGGTACGGTACATCCTAGGTACAGTACGAAGGTTGGATGGATAAGTAATGTAAAACGCACCTAAATACATCCCCACTTTAGGCCTTTAAACAAATCAAATCATATCGCTAATTGAAAATTTATATAATAAACTTTGGGTAATGGAAGTATTATAAAAGTCATATTTTATTTATATTTTATTCAAAATCATTAATTTTTTATTATATTCTGATTTGAAATCCTATATAAAGCTTATTTAGAATCTTTAAAAAGCTTCAAATACTTCAAATACTATAAATTCATCAAAGTTAATAAAAAGCAAATAAAAGCTTCAAATATCAAATTTTAGAGGGGAATAGTTCATTATCTATTCAATTCGTTTAAAGCAGTAATAAATTCTATAAAAACAGTAAGATTTTACTAAAAGTAGGGTTGACATTACTTACCCATTCAACCTTCGTACATACCAAGTACCTATAATTTGGGTTATCTTTTTTTTTCCTTATCTGGATGTTTTTGGATACCTAGGTACTTATCATTTCATACGTTCATCATTATCATACTAAAACATAATAATCCAATATTGCCCACCTACCTACCTGCAGATTCCGTGATTTGCCTATACCTAGGACTTTGAACACCATCCAGAAAGCAATTTCAATCCTATTCTATGGGCGCAGAACAATCTTCATCGCGTGGTGGGGATGCACAAAATAATGGCGGGGTAGTCATGAAAACATGTTACTACCAATTGTTGGGCGTCGAACGGCAGGCTTCAGATGATGAGTAAGAACTTGGATACTGCTTTTTGATTCATTATTCTGAGATTGATTGAATGTACCTAGGATCAAGAAGGCTTATAGGAAAAAAGCGCTGGAACTTCATCCCGATCGAAATTATGGTGATGTTGAAACTGCCACCGCGAAATTTGCCGAAGTTCAATCTGCCTACGAGGTCTTGTCAGATCCACAAGAAAGAGCCTGGTATGACTCTCATCGATTGTCAATCCTAGGAGGCGGTGACCCTGCGGAAGACGACTTTGCGGATAATGTTCGAATTACGAGCGCAGCGCATATCATAAGCTTGATTGGAAAATTCGACTCCAGTGTCCCCTTCACGGATGCTCCGAATGGGTTCTTTGGTATACTGCGAGAGACTTTCGCAACTCTTGCGAGAGAAGAGAACGCAGCATGCGATTGGGATGGCCTTGAATTAGTCGATTATCCTGATTTTGGGAGCGCCGAGGATGACTATGAGGACGTAGTCAAATCCTTTTATAGAGCCTGGGTGAACTTTACTACGCAGAAGTCATTTTCATGGAAAGACCTCTACCGGACCTCCGATGCGCCGGATAGGGCAACACGCCGATTGATAGAGAAAGAAAATAAATGGTCCCGAGATGAGGCCAAAGCAGAGTTTAATGATGCCGTCAGACATCTCGTTCTATTTGCGCGGAAAAGGGATCCCCGCTTCACTCCGAATTCACAAACCCAGGAGGAAAGACAGAAATTTTTGCGGGATGCTGCATCAGCCCAGGCAGCTCGTACACGAGCAGCAAATCAAGCCAAGATGAATAGCTATGTGGTTCCGGACTGGGCGAAATCGGATGAATCTGAAGGTGTAATCGAAGAATCGTCCGAAGAGTCTGAAGTTGAAGTAATAGAATGCGTTATTTGTAACAAGACTTTCAAAAGCGAAAACCAGTTTGAGGCACATACGAAAAGTAAAAAACATATCAAGGCTGTACAGGCTATCCAGAAACAAATGCGCAAAGAGAACAAATCACTACACTTGGATACACCACCGGAACCAAAAGGTGGTGACCTTGATGATGATGATTTCGAAAGGCTTGAAGTTACGTCAGAGAATGGGAAGCATGAGTCTGCCATCGATGATGCAACTAAAGTTGAAGAAGTAGGAACCTCGCCATATGGTCACGACTCGAATTCTAGAAAATTAGATGGTCCAGCCAAAGATGATTCCGATATCGACAGCCTAAATGATGACTACGCATCAAGAGCAGCAGTTGAGGAAAGATTAGCAGCAGCAGCATCGGGAGATGCACTCTCTCTTGAAACCGAGGATTTAGACCCTAGTCAAGTTCCAACCAAAGATATAGAACAAGATGCTTCGAGCGATCCTACTCTAAAGAAACCTCTTGGAAAAGCGAAAATGAAACGTGCCAAAAAGGCTGCTCAAAAGGAGCCTGCAGGGCTGCAGGGCGAAAGTGTAAGTGATCCTCTCCTCAACCCTATGTCAATTGGTTCTCATGAGATTTCAGTTTAAATGTGCCAATGTGACATGTCATCAGTCGTTCTCCTCAAAGAGCAAACTCTTCAACCATATCAAAGAATTTGGCCATGCCTCACCCGTACAAAAAGCTGGTAATACGAAAAAGAAGAAATAGATAATGGGAGCTAAATGATGAAGTTTAGAGCATTGAGTGTGGTTTACTATAGCCTTATACCCTTATTTGTATGTAGAGGCGTTCCAAAGAATGGCAGGCATGCTCCCTCGCTGAGCACTAAATATAATGAGTTCTCTAGTCACAATGACCAGCCATTCAAATGCTTGTGATCTTACCTTGGAAGCAGGCATTGAAGGTTGACTAATCAGCCGATTCATCATTTCTAAATCGATCTATTCGATAATATTTAAAGGTTACAATTGAACGGTATAAATCCATAGTAGTCTTGGTGAAATCCGATTACATTGCCACTGCCCTTTGGGCATGAGCCCCTAGATCAAGCTTAAACAAGCTTGAACGTTTTTTTTTTTTTGAAACATGTCTTAACAATATTGAGTCTCTACAGCCTGAGATGTGACACTTGGATAGACTCAGGCAGCACAAACGGGTTGGGACTGGAGGTGTATTTCAATTGTCACATGGGATCTTAGACATGAATCAATCAAACTTGTAATTCGCAATACGAATGGATTAAGAGTAATCTCTATAAAATCACCTACTCCGAACGCCCTAAATACCTCAATTACTTTGATGGGTTATTTCCCAGCGCCTTAGGCGTCTAATATGGTATCGTCATCGTCGTCGTCAAATGTTTCAACCTCGTCAATAGCCCCGTCTCGCTCTCCACCTAAGCCATACGATGCCGGATCTGTATCTGCAACGTGAATAACTCCCTTGCCCTGTACTTCCTTGACGGCCCGTCGCCACTCATTCCAATCATTCTCATCACGTATCAAGAATGCAATAAGCATGCTAGGATCCATCTCCTTGATGTGGAGTCGTCGAAGTCGACGAGTGTGGCATGAATCAACATCCTCTGTAGTATAGTCTTCCATATTGTCTTTGTACGGAAGTGCTGGTCGTGTTTGGTGAGGATCTAGATAGAAGAAATCCGACTCTTGCACACCAATAAAGTAGTGCGAGGAGGATGGGCGACCCCTGTACTAAATTATTATATGACCAAGTTAATGAAAATCGGAGTGACTCACCCAGCGATCCCCACAGATTGCGGCATTTGTAAGGAGTATTTCAATGCCTCCCAGTAGACAGGAGTTATCTTGTCTAGGCCCAACCTCGTACCTACTAGAATGAGAGTCGGGGTAAAGTCTGAGTGGTTTGGCTTTGCGATACTCATAAAGGTGTCTTCGTATACGTCCGATCCATCACCCGTGATGTATACACGCAGCTCTGATTTGGCTTGATTATTGGATAAAGCCCTGTAGATAATCAGCCATTATTCAAATTCCCCTCGAATAGTCTTCTTACTGGATGCAGCGCGCAGTAGCAGATGGTCCGAACCACTCTCCAGGATGTTTCCCGCAAGCACTTGCACCGTGCTCGACAAATTTGTGAATAGAGTAAGGAGCTCTCGGATCATCTGCGAATAAAGATAGGATTTTGCGTTCTTCGTTGCTAGATATCCCACGACGCCATTCTATGACATGGTTAGCTATAGCATCGAAGAAAGTGATGGTAGGGGATCGAACCTCTGCCCATCCTCAGGGTAAGCAATGCATTTGCTAGGAGGCTTTGTCCGGACCTTATCATACAACCCCACCCCGTGTCAGATGTAAAGCCTCCTTGGTCGACAAGTTGACTCCTCAACCGTACTGATAGTGACATCGCAGAAAGGGCTTTTGGATCCTGCGACTTAGCTATTGCGGGAAAGTTTGATCGGTATGTAAGCCATATCTTGGCTTCGAAATCATCAAGGAATGCGGATGGCCACCCTCCATCTGCGTTAGCTGTATCGCAAGTTTGGTAGCCCGAACTTGATTCGAGGCTGCCAACTGTACTATCAGGCGGAGTTGCAACTTCATTGGTAGGTAAAGACTGTGCGGGTAGGTATTGTCCTTCATGGGGAGGGGAGTCTGTAATAGCTGAAGTGGGTGACTTTTCCAAAATAGGGTATTCTTTTCCTAAACACCAAATAGGTGACTGCGAGGCAGTATCGTTCGTAGGCTCGGGGTCCCAGAAATACTGGACGAAGCGTTTGTAACGACCTATATCAGCCGCCGTCATGGTTGAATGCGACTATGGTTCGTATTCAAGTCGTGTCGGATGCACATAAGACTTGTAGGGTGCTAGGTAGAGAATGGCGGGGACGGTGAGCTGAGGGGAAAATGTTTAGGATTATTAACAGATTCTATAGTGAAATCATAGAGCTGATGGAAGAAGAGGTGTAGTTGAAGTGGAAGTATTATGAATAAGTGAACATTTGACAAGTCGAGAAATGTTGCAGATTGTTTGTAGTATGGGATGAGGTGAGTGCTGCAAGGCGAAGGCAGCTGATGTTCTGATTGATGTTGTCGCCTAGTGGTCAAATATGATACTTTGTTTGGCCTAGCGCGTTCTTCTGTGAATGTTAGACACGACAACACGACACTTTTCATTTTGGAAGTGCATGTGCCGTGACTGTGAGAAAGGTAAGTAAGCTCGGCAGGAACTTGGTTGATGATGTAATGAATTGTTAATTGGATAAGACGGTAAGAAGATACTAGGTAGGCATCAAAGTATTGTTATTAATCTGGTCCACAGGTACTCGAGAACCTGACCTACGGAGCAGTACTGGTAGTATCTACGAGTAGGTATTTCCTAGGTACCTGTGCACCAAGGTATTTGTTATTTCTCCATACCTCCTTCTCCTCACCTCCCGTACGGAGTACCACAGACCCACCTTTTGATGGTTTCTTATCGATAAGAAGCTCTCAAAGTCATCATCACCTGGGCATCCATATTTACTCGAAAGCTGACTGGCAAAGGTAAAGTACCCATAAATTGCTACCATGTTATTGGATCAAAAAAGCTACTAGTACACATTTTCGTGCAGCGCACTGCAAATCTAGAGTAATAATTGATTTTTGTTACACACAACACCGACCAGTACCTGAGCTGCCTCCCCTGTAGCCTAACACCACTCATTACTAGGTTGTTTACCTGCCACTTGATGTATTCTCATTGATGGCAAAACTTTCTTCATCTTTTCCCATTCGAAATTATTCTTCGTCATAAGGATCTGTACATCAGTTTGCCATCCGTAAACTTCGATTCTGTTGACAGTTCCATTGTGCTGTGATAACACAAGCTATGCCACGAAACAAACGGGGTGGCGCTCGTGGGAGGGGCAATTTCAGTTCCCCCAGAGGTGGTCGCGGAACTCCCACTCCTGGAACCTCCTTTATTCCATTCGCTGGCACATACGTTCCCCAAAGGCCTCAAACTGGTAATGTTTACATATACTCCATGCGAATAATCTTCGGCGAATGCGAATGCAATTGCCATTGTTCTAGCAGACATGTTGGTCAATGCTAACAAAATTGGTATATTATAGGTTTCACACTTCAAGAAGAAGCTCGCAATACTGAACGTCATCATTCTTTTTGGAACTCTGATCAAAGATTAAGAGACACAAAAGTGAGCTTTGTCAGCGCCGGGGAGTTCAATCCACCAGATCTTATCAAAGATTCTGAGGAGGCACTGGCTGGAATGAGCTTGGAATCCGCGGAACTACCTGCAGGAAACTTGACCGAAGATGTGCAAATGGCGAATCGCGAAACGCATATGGCTACACCCTCTTCATCGTTTATGATAGATACCGATGGTGGCAATCATGTTGAGACAGGTCTTGCACCACCGCGTTTGCGCTCAATCTCTCCAGCTCGGTCAGACTCAAGCGAAGAAGTTATTCTCTTTCATGGACGTGGTCCAGTAAGGAATGAAGATGCCAGGATGGAACATGATCCCCCAACAAGCGCAGATCCTATAGATGCCAGGATCAAGCTCTTGGATGATAAACTTCTTGAGCAAGAAAAGCTATTGGAAGAAGCTTTAGATGAGAAGGAGGCATCTCTAGAGTCTATTCCACCCGAGCTGGCAGAAGCATTGAACAAGGAGATGTTTTTGGGTGCAATGCCACAGAAAGTAGCAAATTCACCTTCCCCAGATTTCGAGGCAATTTTACCCAAGCGTCAAAACAAAGGTCAAGGTAAAGGTCGCGCTAGACGAGGTAGACGAGTGGCCGGCATAATCGATGATAGTGATGAAGAGGATGCTATGATTGCAGATTACATTGCGAACATGGATCAGGAACAGACCATGGCTAATGTCGACCAGCCATTCAACAAACGTGAGTTAGGAGGCGATGACGATGCTGCTTGGGAAGATGATTCTTCTGTTAGAGACGCTCATGACTCTGATGGATGTCACGGATGGGGTCGAACAGAATTGCAAGATCTTGACGATCTCAGCACGTCAGATGAGGCCAGGGGCAAAGTCGAAACGGTTTTATCAAAGAGGCATCGTGTTGGTTGCGTGCAGTACTTGGTTGTCTGGGAACATCAGGACGTAGACGAAGCCAGATGGGTTCCACTGGATGTTCTACAGGATTCCGGGGCACTGCCTCTCATTGAGGTTTTTGAAGCTGAAGAGAAGTTGGTTGCCGAATTCGAAAGTAATGGAGACGAAGACAGTGATGATTCCGACGATATTGTCGATGGAGACGATGATGACGAGCAGGATCTAGTTCAAAGGAGGATTGCAAAAATGAATGATGAACAAATTGCAAGACTGATCAGTAAGCAAGAGGAGCTTGGTATGGGCGGTGATGAAATTTTACTCTCTGACGATGAAGTCGATGATGATGATGAAGACATGGAAGCGTCTACGATTGATCTCAGTAATTTTATACTTTCAGGCAGAAGAGGAAGAAAGGAAAGACAGCAGCGCCAAGGCGAATTTCCGCCAGCAGCTCCATTGGCCGATGCTTACGACGGATTTGATGTAATGGATTTTGATCGGCCTAGTCTTAGAAAGAAACCTAAAGGTCGCAAGGGCAAGTTGATACTAGACGACATCTCGGATTCAGAGCTCGAGGCCTCAATGCAATCAGCTTGGGACAATGATCGTGTTAAGAAGAAGGAGAGAAAGCAGGAACGTGAAGTATTACGTGCACGAGGTTTACTGACTGGCAAGCATGGCAAGCCCGATATGAAGACAAGGTACAAGGAAGGAATGAGTATTGATGATGTCAAGGAAGAAATCAAGGAGTTTTTGAAGGGTGACAACACCACGTCAGTATCATTTCTAATCTTCTTAATCCACACTAACATAATACAGCCTTTCTCTTCCTGCAATGGGCAAAGCCGATCGTAAATTTGTTCACGAGATCGCCAATGCATTCAAATTGAAGTCGAAGTCAGCTGGTTTAGGCAATAAGCGTTATCCTATCTTGTACCGTACTTCAAGAACGACTGTTTATGGAGAGCGCGCTTATGAAGCTGCAGCGTCGAAGCTTTCACGTCGATTCCTCCCGCGTAATGACGTGGGTGGGAGAAGAACAGGCGCTGTACCCAAACGTGGTGGTCGAACTGGTGGCGGTGGTTTTGGAGGCGGTTTCGGTGCTGCTAGCTATCGTGATGGTGATGTTGTTGGTGCCTCGGCTCCAGAACTGGGTATTGAGAACAAAGGAAGAGCGATGCTAGAGAGGATGGGCTGGAGTGCTGGCACCGCTCTAGGTGCGCTCGATAACAAGGGCATTCTTCAGCCTGTTTCTCACGTTGTAAAGACCACGAAAGCCGGTCTAGGGTAAGGAGCCGGAGATGTGGCCCAAATGTTGCAAGCCTATCGGTTGATCAATTCGAGTCGATGCGTTCTCAAAAACGTACTCGGCGGTGACCACTATGTAGGGTCAGTATAGAATGCTTGTGTTTGGTAGCAAGAATCCAAACTCGAATCGCGGCGCGATCTAGCTCTGTTAATGACATCCCTCAATGAAAATTCATTCGCCACATCGTATGGAGCCAAACAAGTAACAGCGAATTAAGTTGATGTTTGAATTTCGTCTTCTAATTCCCTATTCTGATGAAGACGTTTGTTTATTGTACAGCCACGTACCCCGAAAACAGACCGTGAAGACATTTGCCCCCATAAAAGCAGACCATCCATAACGCATTAAAAAGAAAACCCCGAGGTCCTCGAACAACAACAGCCATCATCTATGAGATGACCCCAGAGCTCAAGCATATCCGATATCCCCCCTAAACCCCAAAGAAAAGACGACTTATTTCGTGGATGAAGAGTACTTGGTAACAGCCTTGGTACCCTCAGAGACAGCGTGCTTGGCGAGTTCACCGGGGAGAATAAGGCGAACACTGAATTGTAATTAGGAATGAAATATATGGATGAAATTGGATTGCCACATACGAGGTTTGGATTTCTCTTGATGAGATGGTGCTCTTCTTGTTGTAAGCAGCGAGCTTGGATGCCTCGGTGGCGACGCGCTCAAAGATATCGTTGACAAAGGAGTTCAAGATAGACATGGCGCGGTTAGAGATACCGGTATCTGGGTGAACTTGCTTGAGAACTGTGGATTAAAAATGTTAGTGGTTGTTGTTTGGTAAATGCGACGCGTCATGATTGGAAGCGCGATCGGAAATCGCGCGTGGACTCGTACCTTTATAGATGTATGAAGAGTAAGTCTCCTTACGTCCCTTCTTCTTGCGTGGCTTTCCTTCGCTGGTGGTAGTCTTCTTTCCGGCATCTTGCTTGCTAGCTGGGGCCTTTGATGCGGATGCAGGTGCCTGTTTTTGAAAAGTGTTAGAAAATGATATTTGGGGCGCGCAGTGAGAGTAAACACGTACCTTGGCGGCAGCTGGTGCCTTGCTTGCAACTCCCTTTGGTGGCATTTTGAATTTTAAGATTTATTTGGGTTGAAAAATATAAGGGTTGAAAATTGATGTTGATGTGAGTAAGTGTGAAGATGGAGGATGGACGTGGGTGTGGTTTGTTGTTAAAGTTATCAAAGATGAAGGGGATTGAAATTGGGAGATGAAGAGTTTAAATGAATAATAAAGTCGGCCAAAATCACTTTCGTGCCCTTTTGCTAACTGTGCTGCTGGGGACTCTCTAAAATCGATGATTGGATACCCGATTAATGTGGAACCGCCCTCATGACCAATCACATAATTCGTTCAATCTGCGGGTCGTGCCTTCTGCTTATAAAATACCCCAAAACGATCTAGCTTAGGGAAGGAGCTCTTTACGGCGGTTTTTCATGGGCAGAGTAGATCAGATCACGACTTTTGATGGCTCTTGTTGATAAATGTTCGTCCCCATTCCCATCTTCTTTTAATCCAAAACATCTCTTCTCCATCCACGCAAAACTTTCGAAAAAACACTTTCTAGAATTCTTCGTTGAATCAATTTCATCCATCAACTTAACCACTTCCCAAATCAATTTTACTTTCTAAACACTTTCAAGATGACTGGAGGAAAATCTGCTGGAGGAAAGGCGGGAACTACCAAGAACGCTCAATCGTAAGTTGCAACTATTTCCCTTGTCTTTCACATCGTACCTCGCGGCTTTCCGATTCGATTTGCAATTCGCGTTCGTATCTGGATATCATGGTCACTTTTCAATCTTGAATCTTCAATGCTAATTTATTTGCCTTTTTAGCCGTTCATCCAAGGCTGGTCTTGCATTCCCAGTTGGTCGTGTTCACCGTCTTCTCAGAAAGGGTAACTACGCTCAACGTGTTGGTGCTGGTAAGTTATTCATCCAAAAACATTCTCATTTGCTGTTCCTAACACGTATCCATCAGGTGCCCCTGTCTACCTCGCTGCAGTTCTTGAGTACCTCGCGGCTGAAATCCTTGAGTTGGCCGGTAACGCTGCCCGCGACAACAAGAAGACCCGTATTATCCCACGTCATCTCCAACTCGCCATCAGAAACGATGAGGAATTGAACAAGCTTTTGGGACATGTTACAATCGCACAAGGTGGTGTCTTGCCAAACATTCATCAAAGTAAGTTACTTCAATCTAGTATCGTACATCACACTTTCTAACGTGTTTTTAGACCTTCTTCCAAAGAAGACCGCCAAGACTGCCAGTGGAAAGCCTGCCAGTCAAGAGCTATAGATTTTCGTTTCTGGGTTGTTGGCTTGAGATGGTCTGCTTTTATGATAATGGGGTGTCGTATGGGTATGGGTTTATGGTTATTTTTTCGCGTTCCGGTTGTACATTAAAATCCATGGCAATGGATTAGGATTGCTTTCTGAATCAATCTTATGAATGAAAAATCCGAATGATCATTCTTCATTATTTTCCAGAATACTCCACTTCCCTACTCGATCAATGCAATGTAACATGAGCATTAGGCGTGGAGTTTGATATTTGACGCGAGACGTGAGACGCATTTGTTTGTTTTGGATTTGTTTGAATGTGTGATAAATGAGCTTCTACGTTTCGATCGTTTGACGTCCGCTTTCTTGATTATTGTCTCCCAACTTCCAGCTTGGTATTCTGTTGATATTTCTTCAGTTTCATGTATCGCCGGCAACGTTCGCGTCACTTGAATTTGTGCTCGTTCTTCCAATCATATCAGCCTTCACAAAAGTCATTCCAGAAGGATTCGTTCGGATTCTCGGAGAGATCTAGAGGACGTGTCTGTAAACTTTATCGAATTTCTTGTGCTAAGTACAATTCATCATTTCTTCCACTGATTGTAACTCCGCACTGTAGCCATCTGCCATCCTCCCCATGAAATCCCCAGATACTTACAAAGCCACCTTTGGAGGAGCTATGAAATGTTAACGTGGCGATCTCTACAGTCGATATTTTGTATAACTTACGATCGAGAATTGGTGATGGAAGATTGCGCTCGTATTTCGATCCTGGAAAGAGAACATTGTAAGCATATGATATGGAGACAACCAGCCAAGGGAAAACTGACCTCCAGGGGCAGTAGGTGGGCGGTATGGATCTGGGTGCTTCCACTTCTGAAGGAGATCCTCCGTCTCTTTGAACAATGCCTGCGAGTCACATAATTAGTCTACGCTTTCTGCTTTACATCATTTGGGCTACTTGCCCTCTGCAGTCTTGGGTCGTGGACATTTTTTTGCGCCTCGAATAATGATCTGATATACAATGCTTGCCCCCTCCAGAGATGCCTGTGTACACACCAGTCCAGGGAAAGCTTGAGGGAGCGCCGATAAAGCGACCTGAGCGAAACAGTGTTAGAACGGGTAGCCAGTATAACATAGGATGTAGACACTTACGATACTGTAGATCTGGTAGACATTATGAATCAAATCTAATCTTTTTTTTTCCTACTAGGTGCTCAAGATCGATGGCGATGCCAAAACACGGCAATTATTGTGCTTGACCACTAAAAGATCTATTTATTCCTCAATAAAAACTATTGCTGGGAGACGTCTCAACTGTGGTTGGTTGGTGGTTGGTGGTCGCGGAGTGAATATTCAGTGAGTGGAAAGTGGAGTGGAGGTGTTGATTGTGGGAGTGCTACTAGGTAGATGTGGGAATATTGTACGGGCGTCTGCGGGTACGAATGTCGGGAAAACGCTTCAAAATTCGCGAACCCGGAAAAGACATCATACAGGAAATCATTAACCAATCTTATCCTTTACCTATTTCTTTTCGCATGCGCGTTTGTTGACCTGCAAATTAGTCTTTCTATTTCTTCACCCACAACTCAGGTCTTCCTCTTCTTCAAACTTCTCTCTCGTACCCGCCATCTGGCTCCCGGAATATAATCACTTCGCCTTGTCTCTCCTTACAAAATGCTTACCAGGAGGGTTTTAACAGCCTCGCGATTTTTGCTGGCTCAACGTTCTGCCGCACCGCAATTGAGATATCCACTTCCAGTTATCCAGCAATTTCGCAGTTATGCCGACAAAGTTGTCAAAGTACCAGAGATGGCCGAATCCATCTCTGAGGGTACTTTAAAGCAGTGGTCAAAACAAATCGGTGATTATGTTGAGCAGGATGAGGAGATTGCTACAATTGAAACAGACAAAGTCAGTATATTTCAGCATGTGCTCAGGGGTGAATGACTAACGGGGAAAACCTTAGATCGACGTTGCTGTTAATGCTCCCGAAGCTGGCACAATAAAGGAATTCTTAGCCAATGAGGAAGATACTGTTACTGTTGGTCAAGATCTTGTCCGTCTTGAACTTGGGGGTGCTCTAGAGGGTGGTGATAAAGAAAAGGCCTCTTCGGAACCAAAAGAAGCAGCATCAAAAGATCAATCAACATCTTCGGATCCTGAGCCATCTAAGAAGAAGGATTCGAAACCTAAGGAGGCTTCTAGCTCCCCTCCACCTACGGAGAAGAAATCGGAACCAAAAGAGACACCAAAGCCAAAACCTTCGGAATCTAAGAAGCAAGATCCAACATCTAGTAGTTCTGGAGCTTCTTTGGGCAACCGTGAGGAGCGTCGTGTATGACTTTTACCCGATACTTGACACAATTCGTCCGGCTAACAACATTATCAGGTCAAGATGAACCGAATGCGACTACGTATTGCTGAGCGTTTGAAGCAATCGCAAAACACCGCCGCATCTCTAACGACTTTCAACGAGGTTGACATGTCATCTTTGATGGAATTCAGAAAGCTCTACAAAGATGAGGTGCTCAAGAAGACTGGTGTCAAGCTGGGATTTATGAGTGCCTTTTCTCGTGCATCTGTGCTTGCCCTACGAGACATCCCTGCAGTAAACGCATCCATTGAGGGTCCAAACGGGGGTGACACCATTGTCTACAGAGATTATGTTGATATCAGCGTCGCCGTCGCCACCGAGAAGGGCTTGGTAACTCCTGTTGTTCGCAACACTGAGAGCATGGACCTTGTTGGTATTGAGAAGACTATTGCTGATCTCGGCAAAAAGGTATGGTTATTCTGTAGCATGTTTGACTCGACCTTTACTTACTGATTCATAGGCTCGTGACAACAAACTTACAATCGAAGATATGGCCGGTGGAACCTTTACCATTAGCAATGGCGGTGTGTTTGGTTCATTGATGGGTACACCTATCATCAATCTCCCACAAACTGCTGTTTTGGGTCTACATGCTATCAAAGACAAGCCCGTTGTCGTCAACGGCCAAATTGTTATTCGTCCAATGATGTATCTGGCCTTGACCTATGATCATCGTCTACTTGATGGAAGAGAGGCTGTCCAGTTTCTGGTTAAGATCAAGGAGTACATAGAGGACCCAAGAAGAATGCTTTTGTAGACAAGCAGAATCATAATCTTGGCTGTAAAATTATATCTCAAGTGCACAAATGTAATACAAGACGAAGCATCGGGAAGCCCTCGGGAATCCGAGCTTTAATGCTATCTCGTTGATTTCGACAACAGCATTTGTTGATGTGTATTTTATGCTCACATTTTGACGCAATTGTTCCAAAGACGTTCGTAAGCATACGAGTACCGATGTCCAGAATGATGATGTGGTATGGCTTGTGATTGACATGCAGATCATCATTACGAACAAGAAGTCTGCTGGCTGTGATTTCTCCTGGACCCCATCTCGTTACCACTATCCACATATATGGTTATATCATAAACGTGTGCCTGTGGGTTTCAACAATGATCAAAATATGTATCCCATACTTATTATTTTTATCATGCTCTCTTCCCTCCTAGTCTAATTGGGGTCACTTTATGCAACGCCTGCTCGTCAATAAGATAAGATATTGCCTACATCGCCACCAATATCAACTCTATGCTATCAACTCCTCCCGATATATACCAGTTGCAATACCTATAATTCCTAAAGCCAACTTGTTCGAGTAGTTATGCCCTCATTCCAACTCGCGGCTGGACGTACTTTAGACTTCAAACTTGAAATACAATCGTGTAAACTTCAAGGTTGAACTTGTCCAAATTGGGAATGCATTTCTATATGGTGGACTTAAAGTTTCCTTCTCCCTCAGTTGACTACGAGTACATCCATCTACCCACCAATGAGTCGCCATAATAATGATTGCGATGTTTGGTCAATAATCCCTTGAGACAGCCCTTGTTGACTTGAACATTGCCCCCGGGTCGTCTTCCTTAGATTGACCCTCAGCCTGTACGATCAGAAGATAATCCACGTATTATAGGTTGATAGGTGTGTATTGGGTTCATAGTTGATGGGAATTACAACTCTTACTACCTACATACCGTCAAAAGTTTCTTGGAAGCTGCAGTTGGATTTCATCATGCCAGTAGGCTAAAGAAGATGTATTGTTGTGGTCTCTAGATTTGTACTTGGAGTGATCGAACGAAGATAAGACAGGAACGTCAGAGAAGACAAACGAGTATGGCAATGGCACTAACAGCAATGCCCTGAACAGAAATGCAAAAACACGTGTTTAGTCTGGTAAACTGTACCCAACAGTACTATGAGGACTTGTGTTGCCATTATACGCGTGTGTGACGCAAACAAGCTACGGTAGTATTGCTCCACCTGAGTCAGATCGAGACATTCTGGGTCAAAGGTAACAATCCAGAATTTGAAGCCTCTGTTCTGATTGTTTAGAAGTGCCAGCCTTATGCCTCGGCCTGGACTTAAAGTATTAGGCTATAATGGCAAGTATGAAATTGACTACACAAGGGTTGATGCGCATGAGGCGCACATTGGGCGTACTCTATTTCTATGATAGCCCAGCTGTTTTTGGGTTCGTTCTCCTAGAATTAGCATATAGGATGTTGAACAAGACAGCCTTTACACTATCCTGAACTCATGTTGATGGAAATAATAAGATATTGAATTAAAAATATACATTTTGTAATATGATTTCACTCTTTATTATTATGAATATAGAATGAGTATTTGTATAAGTAGAGTATAGACGACGAGAGTCTCAATTGTCAACATAATAGCTTATCTAGAGAGCTAATCATAAAATAATATATAATTCTTAATAAGAATTAGTATGAGACTAAGTCTCTTTCTGACTCTACTAGAGAAATAATATCAAAAGGTCACTCACTTTTTTACTTTTATTTATCAAAATAATCATTTATTCTATAATTTTAATCTGTCTACTTAGGCTTGAAATATTGATAATTCGAGTTCAAAATTATCTAAAATATAAGCTACTGGACTTCCTTCAAATTGATATGAAATCTGTATAAAATCTATAACATTTTCTATGACTTGATATAGTCAGAGTTATTATGAAAAATCTATAGATTATTTTCTTATTTTATTTTTAAAGAAATAAACCCAGAGGTAAATTACAATTATAATTGAAGGTTTACCTCATTAATAAATTGTACTATTCGCGAAAACCGAAGTACTATATATATATAAAAGTTAATTCATTAAGCCTAAAATCTGATTTCAATAATATAATTAGGTTAAATCCTTATATATAATATTCTTAGCATTATAACATTATAACATAAAAAATATTTTTACAATAGAATTCATTCTATTAGATTTAATTGAAAAAAATATCATATAGAATAAGCTAAAAGCTTTTAATTAATCTAATTCTTATAATACTATCTTTAAAATTAGGGTTTATATAATAAATTAAAGTTAAATTCTTTATAGGGTTTTGAAGCTTATATAATTATTATGAAAGGGAATATATTGAGTATAATAAGATCTATACTAAAAAAAATTATTTAATACTTAAAGCTTTTATAACATAATGATTTAATCATTAATTCGAATAAAAAAGTTTACAATATAATCAACAAATATTATATAATAAAACATAATTCAAAAAAAATCTAAATCAAATTTCTAAGAAAAATGAAAATTATAAAAATAATTTAATAGTAAACCGACTTTGCTTATAAGCATTCAATAGATTTCTTTTAAATAATTTATAATAATGAAAATTAATATGTTATACTTTCTCAAAAAGCAAGAGGCCCGGGGGCTCGCAGGCCCCTAGTATATTATAGATAATATGGTACGCTAATACTAGCGCACCAGGGTACCTAGGTACATATAAATAGCTTCTACATAGTATAATATTTCCCCTCCCGGAACTTGATCTCTCTCAACATCAACTACACAGGCTACTTACTATTAGGTCCTTTTATAAGGATTTTACCTGATATTATAAGAAATTCAATTATATGAATATCAATCTCAAATACTTCTACAAATAAGATAAGGCTCTCTTACACATTATATATTATACCAAATCGTAAAGATCCTTTGATAAATGACTATTTTAACTATTTATTCCATCAATTATAATTATAAAATGGATAGAGTATTTTTCGTAGCTTTTAAGAAAGCTATTTGAATTTATAAAGTTTTATTTTCTTATTAGTTTTTATATTAATATTTGTTTTAAATAAATATATTACTTTAATATACCTTTTATTTAAATATTTCCTCATTATTTTCTTTTTTTTGCCCTTATATTCTCCTTTTAATCATTTATATTAATATATTTTTGAGTTTAATATATTTAGCGCTTTTTAGCTTTTTAGTTTAGCTCACATACTACAAAACATCTATTTCTAATTAGAACTAATTATTTCTTTGTTTTTCAGCGTTTTAATAATATTAGAATAGGTTTTTTCGATTACTCCTTTTGTTTAAAAATGAATATAAACATTACTTTGAAATAATATATATCCTTCTTAAATAAAATAGAAAGATTATATTCAAACAATCTTTTTAAAGCTTATTATAAATTAGAAATGTTTTTTATGATTATTTAATTATTAGTTTTAAAAACCCTTAGTTTAATACATCTCTATACCCCTCAAGAGATTATAGAATATAGGTCTTAAACCTATGCCTGCCAGATGTAAATCAATACTACTACTATTACTACTACTATTACTATACAGTATAATAAGAACGTCGTCCTTCTTTCACACTATACACGTACTAGAATATATATATTATATAAAAAATTCTTTGTTTTAGCTAATATAGTTCTTGAAATCTTTAATATCTTCTGTAAATTTAATAGTAAATCTTGAGAATATTATTCTTAGATTACTTATTATTTAACTAATAGAAATAATATATGGTATTCTTAAATAGTTAAATATGAAGACATTGATAAGAAAATAAATTATTGTGAAAAAAACCCTGTATGTCTTTTATATATTAATATCATGAGTGTTAGATGTAATAACTAATATAATCTCAATTAGTATCTATAGTACTATCGTTTTTTAATCTAACTTATATTCTTAATATAATTTTCTTTAAAAAAGAAATAAATGTAACTATTAATTATAATTTAAAAAATTAGTTTATATAACTCTTATTATAATAGAATAGTATTTAAAGTATTTTTTAATTATATTGAAAATCATTTTATAAATTAAAGTAATTAAGTTTTAGTACTAGCTTCTATATATAAAAAATTATTATTATATTAAATATCAATTTTTATTTTTGATAAAGAATTTTAAAGTCTATATTAATGAAATGAGGAACATAAAAAAAGTCAAGAAGAGGCGTTTCAAAATAACTTTCTAATTTATATTACATTCAAATCAAAAAATTATTTTATATTCTTTATTAAAAGTATTGAATTAATATCTATTCGAATTGAATAATAATAATTATTATTATTTAAAAAAGAAATATACTATATTTATTTAAAATATCTAGAATAATCAATATAAAATAATATAAAATAATTATATTGAATAAATTAGTAAAAAAGATTCCTTAAGGATTTTTATAATAATTCGAATATTTTGATATTAAATAACCTTATAGAAGATTCTTAAATATAAACATATAGAAAAGGAAAATCTGATTAAGAAGCTCTATTTATTTCGAAAAATGTTCTTAATAAAATAATTAATATATAGAAATGTAACCCTTCTATAATACTTATAATTGTTCTATATAAAGAAATAGTATTTTCAAATCTTAATATAATATAATTCATATATATAAGAATGATTCTAAAGTATAATAGAAATTGTAATATATAATATATTATTAATTATTTAAAGAGAGAATAATAACTTTCATTAATATAGAATATATATGATATTGAAAAGCAATATTATAATTCATTTTATATTTATTATATAATTTATTTTAGATTATTGATATATTGAATATAAATTAAAATTACTTATATAACTATTAATTTTTATTATTATAAAGCTTTAAGACTCTTTTATTAAAGAAATGATATTAGTAAAGTAAAATAAAAATAAAAATAATAGGTTTCAAATAAAACTCAATCTAAGCAAAATATATATATAAAAGGTTAGAAATAAAACATTTTATAATAT